ATTTTGAAGTGCAAAACATTACGTTTTTTATTCACATTGACAGTCTGCAGAATACCTACTGCGCATGCTCCAGTCAGCAGCTGTCCGTTCTATTGGTTTCATTCTCTTCTTCCGTAGACTGTCCGTTGTTTCTCTTTTTTTCTTATCACACGTCAAATGTTGCACAGAAAACCCCGTTATCACAGTCCTGCTATTTAATTTTTATTTTATTTTATTACATATATACAGTGGTGTCATATTAGGTGTTGGCAAAAAAAAAAGTCCAAATTGTTACGTTGTATTAAAATTTCTTGAAATTATACATTTTAAAATGAATCAAAACACATTTCTTCGTGTTACTTTTTGCTTCTTCTTCGGTGTCATTTTAACACACTTCTTTCGGGGGGCTTCGCTTCCGTTTCCTCTTCGTCACCCAGAACTGATTCGGTTTACACTCCGAGGCTGAAAATGAAAACACTGATACCAGCTCAAGATCCACCAGCGAAACATTTCACCTGCTCATTATAAACCCGCCTCACCGAACCCGGTAGACCTGCAGGTTTCCGTCTCCTGTGTGGACCAATATGATCCAGCTGTGTGTGTCTGCACCCAGCGGAGTGAGCTTTCCAAGTGCGCAGATGGTCTTATCTCGGTAGCTAACGCTAGCACTGCAAAGCTGCTGTCTGTGGCCCCGCTGGCGATATATCTAACTGGATAGGCACTTTACAATAAGCTAAGGTAAATAACAAATCCTCTTTCATTCATAATTGCTTGCAACGTCGATGTGACACGTATGCACGGCGTACAGCTCAGCCGCTAAGCTTGGCTAGCAGGTGGTGCTACAAAATCACTGGTATTCAACTGAGCCGAGATTACTTTGCTAACTCACTCGGTAGCTCCCGTTATCCAAACAAAGCAAAACCTTCTTGCTAAAACTGGAAACTCTTCTGCACCCATTACTTTCATGGCATTTTATCTCGTCTGATAGAATATTTTTTTCGTGCTCATAAGTGTTTGTTTATGTTGTAAAAGCTAAACACAGCAGTAACAAAACCTGAAGTAAATATGCAGTTTTGTGTGTTATCAACTGCACAGTCTTATTCTAAACTGAGAAAAGCACAGTCTGTATTTGTCATTTAAAGGCCACAGTCTTTGCTTGCTCCTTTTCAGCCATCCGCTGCATGTTTTCTGGAGTGTTTAAAGTGTAATCTTGGAGGTTTTGTGATAAAACTGATATTTTAAGGTGTATTAATACCAACAATCTTTCGTGTTTTTTCACCCCAGACTCAACACCATGAATCTGTTCCGCCTGGTGTGCCGTCACAAGACAGCTCTGGTCATTGGCACTGTTTGCAGTTTCGCTGTAGTCCTCGTCTTCTTGGCCAAATGTACCTCAGAAACCCTGAAACAGGGTCACCAGGATCCTCCAGGCCTGGCCCCCCGAGCCAATGCTTTGCAGCCCCGTCCAGAGCAGCACAACCCCCCCTCCATGTCCAAAGACTTGTCTGCATTCCTAGTAGTCCTCATCACAACAGGACCCAAGTACACAGAGCGCAGGAGTATTATCCGCAGCACCTGGCTTGCCAAGCGGGACTCTGATGTTTTGGCTATGTTTGTTGTAGGAACTCAGGGTCTCTCCAGCGAGGACCTTCAGAATCTGAACACAGAACAAGGGCGGCACAAGGACTTGCTCTTACTGCCTGATTTGCGAGATTCTTATGAGAACTTAACACTCAAGCTGCTGCACATGTACTCCTGGCTGGACCAGAATGTAGAGTTCAAGTTTGTCCTCAAAGCAGATGATGACACATTTGCTCGCTTGGACCTTCTTAAAGAGGAGCTGAAGGCGAAAGAGCCCAGCCGTTTGTACTGGGGCTTTTTCTCAGGGAGAGGCCGAGTGAAAGCAGCAGGGAAGTGGCGGGAAAGTGCTTGGGAGCTCTGCGACTACTACCTGCCCTACGCACTGGGCGGTGGTTACATTCTCTCAGCTGACCTGGTGCAGTACGTGCACCTTAACGCGGGCTACTTCAAGACGTGGCAGAGTGAGGATGTGTCACTGGGCGCCTGGCTGGCACCAGTAGATGTTCGGCGGACGCATGACCCACGCTTTGACACAGAGTATAAATCGCGTGGTTGCAACAACAAATACTTGGTGACACACAAGCAGAGTTTGGAGGACATGTTGGAGAAGCACCAGACTCTGCAGCGTGACGGCAGGCTCTGCAAGGAGGAAGTCAAGCTGCGATTGTCTTATGTGTATGACTGGAGTGTGCCACCATCACAGTGTTGCCAAAGAAAAGATGGGATTCCATAATTGTTGTCTTGTTTTTATTTGTTTTTTTTCTACAAGGCTGAAGTTTGCATTCATATTATATATTCATATTATGTAAGTGAGGAATGTTGTAGGATGTATTTTCTTCTCACCAAATCTTAATTGTTAAAGCATTTTAAGTTGTGTAACTGGTACTGGACAATATAGAAAAAGCTTTAACATTATTAGAAATCACATTTACATTTTTTAAAGACATTGTTCTATTTTTGCGAACAAAAAAATGGGGCAAATTCAAAAGTTTTTCTCCAGTTAAAGCGGCAAAAGTTGCTTTATGTGCACATTTTTTCACATATTTTTGAATTTCAAAAAGTCCTAAAATGAGATTTTTGTTCAGGTTTTACGAGTTATAGTAGTGAATTGTGGGCTAGATGTTGTCTTGTGTGGTTTGCTTGGAGAAAAAGCCATGAAATTGCCTTTTTTTAGTTTTGTAAATAGAAACCCATTTTTACAAATCTGAAACAGATTTAAACAGTCTTTGGGAAGTCCAGGTAAAAAATGGAATATTCTTATTCTAGACCTGGTTTAATTTTGTATAACAACATAATTGAAGATATGGCAAGAATCCCAGCTTTTATTATGACGTCAAGTACCAATTTTACAACTTGAAGTTGTTTAGCAACAGATAAGTGACCAAGAAATATGATTCCTCAACTCCTGAATTGGAAGCCAACTTCAGTCCTGCAAAGTTTTTGACCCATAAGCTCCTTTCGCCTCGCAGTTGCTGCTCTCCTTAATCGTTGGTTTACCACTTCGGTGGCCTACTTCTCTCGTCTGTGCTTGATCTGCTGTACCTCTTGCTCAATGTTTTCCAACAGTACGCGGTATGTTTTTAGCTTATTTCAGTATTGTAGATAGTACAGGGGACCCACAGATGGGAGATTCTAACCCTGCCATGATGTCTACGTTATTTTTGTGAGAGTATTCTTTTTTTTTTTTGTATTTTATTTATTGTTAATTTATTCTGCAGCAAACACAAGACACTGGTACTAAGCATGGATAGATGTGCAGTGGATGTGGTTGCTGCTCGCGGGTGCGGTTTGTATTTATAAACATGTTGGATGAAATTGGTCTATTTCACAGAATTAACAGACAAGAAGTGTTGACTTTTTAAATGTAACCCTTTTGTTTACAGTCAGTGGTGTGCAAGGTTTCATATGTTTGGAGGTGCAAAGAATGTGTAAGAGAAATTGGTTGAATGTGTTTTATTTAGCAGGCCTTCTCATTCCTTATACTGGAGCCTATGCGAGGAGTCTGTCATGGTACTTACATTTCCAACACAACAGCCACATTTTAAAGTCGAAGTCAGTACATTTACTGTGCAGAGATATCAAGTTACTCGTGAATGTTCGTTTTGCAGCACACAACAGAATCAGAAACTTGATATACACTACCAGCTGGCACTTGGTCACTTTTTTTCGAGCGGGAAAACCTGATTTTGAATTCCCTTAATCATTATTCATTGATTGTTTTCTTGGACGTCGAGGCTCCTTAACCCAAACTCACCCTGTTACGTCAGCAGCTGTATCCCAGAACTTGTGAAATTCGTGCGACAGCGTTGATCAAAGGGCGCTATATGTTGGAATGCTAATTAATCGAGGATTGCTGCAAAAAGAGTGACATCCAAGCTCTTTTTCTGTGACTGCTGTTACATTTTTGTGAACAATGACATGACTCCTATCTCACTGTTGTCAATATCAGATTCTAATTCAATGCAACTTTAGTTTCTGTGATTGTTTTTACATACCTGGTCTGCCACCCTGGATGTTTTAATAAAAATTCTAAATGTATTCTTGTCACATCAGATCCTCTATGTTCATTCTTTGACAAGATATATCACAGCAAAATGCACACACAATGTAAAATTATCTACAAAAAGGCAGAATTACTACCAAGAGGGATTGCTTCTTGCTTCTTTAACAATACTACAAAATAGTTTGCTGTAACCATTCTATATGAATTTGGGCTATCAGGTGCATAGGATGTGTAACAGCATTGAAAAGTGTGCATCAGCGCTTGATTGTTTGACAGCAGGACAGCCTTGAACCTTCAAGCACTTAGCAGCAACATACATTTAAATCTACGCCTGTCAGTCAAACCCTCAAAGAGAAGCAGCTAGGAAGCGCTGTCAGACTGCGAGGAGCCTGCCAAACTAGCCACGAAGCAGGCGTTATGTAAATGTGTTACCTGCTGACATCGTTTTGTGATGGAAGAAAAGCCTGGACTGTTTTTAGGCAGGTAGGGAGTAGTGTTTTATGTAGGAGAGAAAAACTCAGTTTGGCATTGAATTAACGTTCATAAGTCTGAAGGCCTTTATCATGCACTTAAAAAAGAGGAACCACCCCCAACATCAGCTCTTAAAAACAATACTGATGTGCCCATATATATGTGAGAATAAGGTTTGGTTGGTGTAATAAATCCTACTCTCCATGATGGCTTTAAAGCTTCCACTCCGAAACAAGATGCAGTAAGAAATGTGACAAAATGCACTTTAAAGGTTTGGCTGAGGCTTATAGACGGTGAAGGATTTTACAAACTGCCACCCGAATTTACAGTTTTTAGACTGAGGCATTACTGTCAGAATAAGACGGCTGAATTTTGATTTTTCGCAATCTGAATATATGCAGCTTCCAGTCAAGGGTGATAATCCTCGAACTGACATCTTTTATTTGTCCCATTGCTGCGCTCGTCACTAGGAAGAATCTGGGATGTGCTTCAAGGATTGTCTCACGAAAACAAATTCTGGCACGTTCTTCAGACTTTCGCTCCTCTTCTGTTCCTCCAGTTCGTACTGCAAGACAGGAAACACCCACCTTCACAAGTTATGCCAATACATTTAAGCTTGCAGGCTGTGTGGCTTTTCTCAACTAACAAACTCACCACTTGTAGAGTCTGCAGCCTGGTACGTAGCTTCACCTCCAAGTCAGAGGGAGGGTGGAGAGCCAGCTCCCTTTGCTTGTGCTGCTCTCTCCGTTTGTGTTCCAGCACACACTGCAGCTCCGTCTTTTGTCGCGGCAGTACACCTCTGAGGATATAATAAAGTGTGGATAAAGAGGTGGATCTAAAATAAGCAATTAAAAATACCATGAAGCTTATTTACTGGAGTGCCACTTATTAATTGATGCAGCAGGTTTTTAAATGCCTCGTGACAAACTAATTTATTGTAATTTTTTTCAGCACATTGATAGACAGTCGACTGTATTTCAATAGAAAATAATTCTCTATTAAACTTGATATCTTCAGTTATCACATCGTCCTTTATGGGCTGAATGATTTCTGCTTCAACACTACAAATGATTTTAGATCTAAGCGTTACTTTTGCTTTCTCAGACACCAGAGTGAGAGTATTTGCCCCCTGTTGAGAGATCAGTGGTGATCTGAGGCAAGGTGTTGCACCTTTGACTCAGTCACAGTTAAACACTAAGCATATTGCTTATCCGCAGCCACAGCCCCGGTCACCTGGACTGGGAAAGCCTAAGAGGATTCTCTGACAGAGGAGGGGGAACAGCTAAAATGCTGACCTGGAGAACTACATCTACTTTCTGATTGCAGTTATAACCTGCATTTACCCCACATCGAAACTGTCATGTCGAAAATGTTGAACTTTTTGAGTCATACAGATGCTCAAAATAGGGCCACACAGAGCATATTTTCTTTGCTGACTAATGTCAGATTTGTGTGCTCGTGGAACAGCATGTACCCGCTGCATATGTGACCTGATCATAGGATAACAGGTTCAGGGCTCAGTGTTTTCTCACCGTCTGTGGCAGAATAGCAGCTCTTGATGAAGAGCTCCGTGCTGGTGAGAAGCCAGGATGGGATTTGGAAGCTTTCTAGGTTTGATGAGGTCATCATCCTCCTGTTGTTGACTTTCAATCACCTGGTGAGGCGGCAGCATCCAGGACTGATGTCCGTCTGATACACATGAATACAAGCCAGAGAGTTGGATCCAGTGTGAAGAGCAACAGAGCTTCTGTTTGCAGCAAGAAGGTTATAAATTAAAATGAAACTAAATGTTAAAATGCTTTTGTTTTGTGGTGTCTCACAACTTCTTACAAAAATCGTGAAAATTGTGAATTTATTTCTTTGATTTCACTGAAGCAACATGAACCTGTCCTTGGTTTTTCTCTGATGTTGTCTTACCTCTTTTGCTCCAAAGGATCGTTTTTTGTGGCGCCTAAATGAAGACAAGACGTAAGCGAGTCACTTTCTTTTGCATAATAAGCAAAATAAAGGTTAAAGCATGCAAATCTACACAGACAATGTCGCCATCCATCAGCTTGCTGAAACAATCAAATGAAGCACTTCATAAGTAAATATTAAATGGGAGTTATCATACAAAATGCTCACAAATAGACAGCAAAGTATTTAGTGCATTCTTCAGACTGACATAGCATCCTGTTCTCCTGTTTGAATTTGTTGTACATCCTGTTAAACAATACATCTACTGATAAATATTATTGTCTATGAATGTATTGCTGGTATACATATTCAGCATGTTCTGTGGTTAAACAGACAGTTTGTTGATTGAATTTTTCTTCACCTCATCCATCTCATGGAAACTCACAAAGCAAAATAAGTGGATTATGTGACACTTATAAAGGCCCGCAAACAAAAGCTCACATTACTTCTTGTTGCTTCAAATAAATGAATAAAATAAAATTACCAGGATTATGAAACCCTAAATGATCAGCTCTGTGGTTTGAAGCAGCCACAAACTGAAGCAGTGAATCTCAGTGAACGTGTCACAAGCACAGAAAACTTCTGTTAAAGTAAGAGCTGAAAACAGTTGGGGTTTTTTTGGGGTTTTTTTTTAGCATTTAAAAAAAATGGATTACAACCATTTGCACAATTATTATGACCTTGAACATTAGATATTTTTTCAATGTGCATCCTCTATGCTGAGTCCAGAACAGACATTACTTTATCAGTTGTCCAAACAGAAAACAGAGACAATTCAAATCTGGTCATTTAGACGATATTCTTTCCTCTCTGTAAATAATTCAAGAAATCCTTCTTTTTTGTGCATTCACTATTACTTATCATCTGCCTTTAATAGCATAAAAGTGATTAAAAAACAGCCTTACCTGTGTGCTCTGGTAAAGACGCATTGCTGAAAAAAGAGAGGCTGAAGATCGAGTGTTAAAGTCTGTTTCCTCGAGACGCCGGTGCAGAGGAGGAAGAGGCTCAGTGTTGCCGTCAGGCTGCACAGCGAGCTGCAGTGACAGTGAGGCTGATCAGAGCAGGTGTGCCACACCGTCCTGATCAGATCTCATTAACTGTCTTACGACCCTTTGTTCCACCCCTTGTTCCCTCCGGGAGAGAAACTCCTGTTGTCTCAGAGCAGCAGCAGCAGCATATGCACAGATTAGGCTAATGTAATATAACAATTAGGATCATGCAACCTGATAACAAAACAAATGTGGCTTTTGTGTCTCTGCTTTTTAAATCCTTTTGTTATCACATGCACACTAAGTTTATTCTACTGTTAAAATCAATCTATCTATAATTCATTTTTGTCTTTGTTACTGAGTAAAACAGCTCTGTCTGACTGCCTGCAGCTTATCTATCATTTAGGAAAAACAAAAACTCACTGAAACTGAAGCATCACTTTGTCATGGACCTGAAACAAAATCAGGTAAACGTAGCAAAGGTAAACACTGACACCAACAAATAAGAGTTATAAAAAGACTCTAAAAAGACAGTTGGTTCCTTGATATAGTTGTAAATACAAATGTAGGATCACAGATGAACAAGGTGTAAATGTTGGATATTAATGTGATGCCAAATGCTGTATGTCAAGTGGTGACAACATTGATTGTGAACCATCAATGTGATATGTAAGATGTGAAAAAACATCAAAGTACTTAAAAAGAGCAGAATTTGTTGTGCATATGCTTTACACAACTGAATGTGACAGATTTTGTACAGACGACTATTGTACATGTAGATATATATTTATGGAAACAGGCGTTTTGTCAGCATGACCATAATGCAGATACAGCTAAAGTTGAAACATTACCACGACTTCATTGATTGATTCCTCATCAGCAATAAATAAAGTAAAGCCATTCCGCTAAACCAGATTGAACTCATCTTAGTGTGAATCTAATTTTATTGTAATATTTTATCATACCACAAATTAACAGGTTTAACTTCCCATGCCCTGCCAATAACTCTCAATTAGATTTTATCATGCGTTTATTTAGTCAAATATAGTCAAGTAAATTTCACTTTATTTTTTGTCTTTTGTTTTTATATTTTTTATTTCCTTACTTAGTTACATTTGACGTTCTGTCTTTTGCTGTGTGATGTTGTTTTACATGTAAATGTTCAATTTTCAAAACTTGGACATAAAAAGTACATACACACATATATAAAATAGTACAAACTCGAAAGGCTATTGCATTATAGGCTAGTTTGAAGTAAAGCAACAAAAAATGGCTTGTCTTGAAGGCAGTACGTACCATGATGACCCTAATACTACTTTACCTGATGAAACTTTTCAGGTTGTTTTTGGACTGAAGGCAATGTGGAGTGGCAAGTAAATGATTACATGACGCTCCTCTGGAGACACGTTGGGGTGGCTCAGCTGTATAGTGGCGTCAGCTCATGTTAGTGTGGGTGGAAGCTCACTTTAATCCTCATCCTTCCCTCTGCTACTACATAAGGTGTGTCCAGTGTTGCATTCAGAGCTGCAGCAGAGCCAGCATTTTTCAGCAGCCTGTTAATTCTTTGCCTTGGTGTTCCATTGACAGATGCTGCCTCTGTTTACTCTGTTGCAGAGAGTAGTGTGCTGGTCACTACTCTAAGAATTAAGACAAGGAAAATGTGACCACTAATTTTTTCCCCCTCTACATTCTCAAATGTAGGGTTGCCCATTTGTTAATAATCTCCCAACAGCATAACTGCAAGTTTTTGTATTTTTTAATAATAACTTCTCAATATATGGTGACCAGGCTCATAAAGAAATAGCATATACAAGCATGATATGTTTACAAATCAGTCTTAGTTTTGAGCTCTTCTTGGTTGTGTCACTGTCAAGTCACTAAATAACACTTTTAAAAGCACCAGCTGTAGAGCCAAAGTGCTTTCCAGTAGAGAAAACAATTGCAATTTTGCCTGGCTAAATTAATTATATACATTGAAGTCTTACAGTGATATTAATGATGCAAATTTGCCTGAAAGTTTTTAACATTAAGGTTAAGACCCTCCTATTTTATATGAATACAAATAAATCTGACTGAATTAAACATTAGGGTTCATGACCAATAATATTATTGATTGTGCAAATTTACATGATTAATTTAAATATTAAGCTTTAGACCCTATAGTGTTATTCATTATGTAAATTTACCCGAGTAAGTTAAATATTATGGGTGGCACCTACAATATTATATTAAACACATATTTACCTGACTTACAAACCGCATAAGACCTGAGCTCTTGTTTGATATACATTTATTTGTTTATTTTATTCAAATAGCAAAGAGAATATATGATGCAGATTCTGTAGATTCTCTACAAACAAGTGTAGTGGCGAGAATAGAAACTGAAACCTCGTTTTCAACATAAACCAGGCTCAGGAAATAAACAGGGTCTTATAAGAGAATTCCTAACAAAAATATAAACCTTGTAAAGTATTCAACGGTGAGAGGAAGGAACCGTGAATGTATGCAATTAAAGTATAATGTGCTTGAGATTTTACTTTGGCACATTTATTGTGTATCAATAAAGTGGTTTTATGGACACGGTTTACATCAGGTTGGTGGACTGACGGGGAGCTGTGTGTCATAACGTCCAGTAGGTGGCAGTGGTGGCCGCTGGACAACAACAAACACAAACCGTAGACGAAGAGCGTAAGTCAGGGAAACGGAAATGTCAACCGAGTGACTGCGAAGCGACTGCATCATATATCCACTTTAAAATATATAATGGATTTCTAATTCAGAGGAAACACAGTCATATAACATCGTCAAAGAGCAAGCTGCGAATATGACAAATGGTAGGTTTACTGTGTTTAACAACGAGCAGACGGCAGCAGAGCAGAGCGTGTGAGTTAGGCTACTTCTGGGAAGGAAGGCAAGTGGAAGCTAGGTTAGCTGTAGACGTGGCCCTGGGCAGCACTGTCAGTCTGTTAGCTCCAAAACTAATTCTAGGCTCATTCTAACTATGGTGTTTCACTCGTTTGTTATAAGTACAGATTCGTTGCTCAGCTTGCCGTATTTCGTGTAAAACTCCACGAATCCCGTGTTTTGTCAAGCTACAAGTCACTTTGCTAACTAGCTTTGACTGGTGTGTCGGTAGCTAAAGCTAAAAAAAATTGAGGATATCCAGTTTGACCACATTCGACAAAACAAAATAGCCTGGTTGCAGAAATGAATCAGTGAAATGTCCACCTTTTCTGCTCTCGCTTTGGTGATTGTGGGTCCACAAACATGAGATTACTGAAGTGTTGTTGCAACAGCATGAAACTCTTAACTAACCAGGGTCAACAACACAGCGAGTACAGGTAGACTAAAGGGACAGACAACCACAAGACAGACTGTCTGGTGCCATTTGGGTTACTTTTAGATAATGCTCAAAATGTCAGGCTTGAAGCGACCCCAGCAATAACATTTAGACGTACAACTAGACGTAGCAGTAATAAATCATTAGGTTGTTAGGATGATGAATTGAAACTAAACCCATTCTCCATTTGCCTTTCTGATATTACAGTAAAATAGAGATGTGAGTCTTTAGTATCACTATCTGTGTTGTCAAAAATTGTTTGGCATTCATCATGTCATTTTTGCAGTCCACATCTAATAAATATGAACCTGTGCCACACCGCAGAACGAATGGGTTAATGCTCTTCCATGTTTTTAGATTTTTAGTCTGATGCTAAGTCAGTGTCAG